CCGGCGCTGCCCTCGGGGACACGGGTGCCCCGGGCCCCACGTGGGCGGACTGAGGCCGTGCCGTGGCCATGCAGTCCTCCAAAGCGGGCAGAGGGGAGCCGAGGGATCTGAGTGGTTCCCGGGGGACTCGCAGGGCCTGCTGCAGCCTCTTCTCGCACAAGGGCCACTCCCCGGTGCCCTGGCCAGCTGCCCGTCAGCACAGCCTCTGCCCCGAGGGTGCGGGGTCCCAGGTCGGCACTGCCCGCAGATGAGGGACACCCACTGGGGGGACCCAGCGGGGCCTATGGGAGCCGGCGGCTTCAGGACCATGGGCGGGGTTCCTGGTCTCCGTCCCAACCTGCACTCGGTCCTGACACGCGAGGGCCCAGCCTGGTTTCCCATCTTCAGGACGGACTGCTTAGGCACGGGGCCATCGGTGCCCCCTGTGCTCAGTCGAACAGCAGCGCGGGGTCAGTGCGAGGGCGCTGGGCGGGCCGTGGGGTCTCCGGGCACAGAAGGGGGCTGCTCACCAGTCCTTCCCTCCCTGAGAAGGCGGGGAAGGGCGTGGCCGAGAGCCTGCTGTGGGCCCCTGCCCTGACCTGCCACGGCGTTCTTTCTCAGCCCAGGACCCCGGCATCTCCCCCAGCCAGAGTCTGTGTGCGGAAAGTTCCAGAGGCCTCGCCACAGGCTCCCTGTCTGAGAGTGCAGTGGGGCCCGTGGAGGCCTGCTGCCTGGTGATCCTGGCTGCTGAGAGCAAGGTGAGCCACACCGGGACCGGCCCCGCCCCCACACCTGGCCAGGCCCCGCCCCCACACTGGCCTGGCCCCCAACCTGATCCCGCCCCCACACCTGGCCAGGCCCCGCCCCCACACCTGTCCTGGCCTCCAACCTGATCCCACCCCCACACCTGGCCTGGCCCCGCCCCCACACCTGGCCTGGCCTCCAACCTGATCCCGCCCCCACACCTGGCCAGGCCCCGCCCCCACACCTGGCCTGGCCCCCCCCCCACACACACCTGACCTGGCATTGCCCCGACCCTGACCCTGCCCTCACACCTCACCCCGCCCCCACACCTGATCCTGCCCCCACACCTGGTCTGGCCCCACCCCCACACCTGACCTGGCACTACCTTCACCCTGACCCTGCCTCCACCCTGACCCTGCCCTCACACCTGACCTCGCCCCACCCCCCCACACCTGACCCGGCAGCTGGCCCCACCCTCAGTGGCCCGGGCCCCAGGTCACACTGAGGGGTGCCTGTTGGGCTGTGCTGGGGGTCTCTTCCTCCGTCCCCGTGTGAGGGGGCTGGTTCCCGGTTCCCCAGGCTGTACCCCAGGGAGGATGCCTGGGAGTGGCAAGTGGGGTTTGGGGCCCCATCAGCCACTGTGGGCTGCTCGTCCGGGACCCTCACTCCTCTGCCCCCTTCCCGCAGCCGTGAGAGGTGACCCACCGACCGCCCCTCTGATTACCCCGTCCGGTCCTGCTTCAGCTGCAGGCGGAGGCCTGGCGTTGGGGGTGCTGCCCAGCCCCCCCAGGCCGGGCAGCGGGAGGAGCTGAGCGCATGCAGCCGCCCTCACTCCGGAGCTCGCTCTGCCCTGCAGGTGGCGGCGGAGGAGCTGTGCTCGCTGCTGGGGCAGGTGTTCCAGATCGTGTACACCGAGTCCACCATCGACTTCCTGGACAGAGCCATATTCGATGGGGCCTCCACCCCCACGCACCACCTGTCCCTGCACAGCGGTGAGCGCAGCGGGCGGGCGCAGGGACGTGGAGGCCACGGCGGGTCTTCGGCGGGAGCCAACGCCTTCGTTCCCAGGCTCCCCTGCAAGTGCAGCTGGGACTGACCCGCACCCGGCCCCTCTCCGGACCCCGGCCGGCCGTGGCTGCCTGTACTTTGGGGCTGGAATTCTTTCCTGGAGCCACAGGGGGTTCCGGGCACCTCACCTGAGGCACAACGCGGCCCGGGGTCTCCCCGGCCGCTCGCTGGGTCCCTCCCAGGACGGGCTGGCGGGGAGCAGTTCGGGTGCCCCCAGCACACAGGCCCACGCACAGCCAGACCTGGGCCCGCCCACAGGCCCGCCCACTCCCCCTTCACGGCCCGGCCACAGCCTCTGGGTTTGGATCGTTTATTGAGGGCCGAGGCTCTGAGTTGGTGCAGGAGGGAGGCCGGCAGCCGGGCCTCCGTACAGCGCAGTCACCGCTGCCCAGTGCCGGCTTCTCGGGGTTGACAGATCTGCCTGCCCTGCCAGCTCGTCTGGCCTCGGGACAGCTGGTCCTGCCCTCGCTCTGCTCCCTCAGCCCTCGGTCCCCCATGTCAGTGCCTCAGGGCCCCGTGTTCCGCCCCCCGGACCGGAGGCTGCCCCTTGCAGCTCCTTTGCTGGCCTGGAGGTCGGCTCCTGGGCTGTCTGTCCTTGGGGAGCAGCTGTGCACACGGGAGCTCACTGTCTCCGAGGGAGATCAGCAGCCACTCAGGCTGCAGCCCCCGCCAGCTGTGGGACAGGCAGGCTGAGGACCCGGCCAGCCCCTCAGCCGTGTGTGCAGGCGGCCATTGGCGTTGCTGGGCAGGGAAGTCGTGAGCCCCAGGACGCTGCTGTGGGAGCTCTGCAGCCCCCAGGGGGCCTGTGTGCCCACGCCAGGCCCCGTGGTCCTGTGAGAGCTGGCCGTGCTGGCTGCCCCCCGTAATCCCGTCTCCGCTCTGCGTCCACAGATGACTCCTCCACCAAAGTGGACCTGAAGGAGCCGTACGAGGCGGACGCCAGCAGCTTGTGAGTCCTGCCCCCCCTGCCCCGGCCACAGCGGCCCTCCCGCCCCGGTTCTGCCCCAGCGCGCGGCCCTGCGGGGCCCCGGGTGCAGGTACAGAGCCCTGTCCTTGCAGCTCCTTCCCCGAGTGCATGCCCACCGCGCCCCACGCCAAGACGGTCAGCGAGAGCGAGCTGAGCGCCACGGCCGCCGAGCTGCTGCAGGACTACATGCTCACGGTAGGCGCCTGCCCGGGGCGGGCGGGGGCGGGGCGGGGGCGGGTGGGGTGGGAGCGGTGTTCCCGGGCGGGGTGGGAGCGGGCGGGGCGGGGCGGGGCGGGGCGGGGGCGGGTGGGGTGGGAGCGGTGTTCCTGGGCGGGGCGGGGGCGGGCGGGGTGGGAGCGGTGTTCCTGGGCGGGGTGGGGGCGGGGCGGGGCGGGGGCGGGTGGGGTGCGAGCGGTGTTCCCTGGCGGGGCGGGGGCGGGGCGGGGTGGGGGCGGGGTGGGGTGGGAGCGGTGTTCCCAGGCGGGGTGGGGGCGGGGCGGGGCGGGGGCGGGCGGGGTGGGAGCCGGTGTTCCCGGGCGGGGTGGGGGTGGGGGTGGGGGCGGGGCGGGGGCGGGGCGGGGGCGGGCGGGGTGGGAGCGGTGTTCCCGGGCGGGCGCTCTGGGCCGGCCCCCACGGTCACCGCCGGCTCCCGCAGCTGCGCACCAAGCTGTCCTCGCAGGAGATCCAGCAGTTCGCGGCGCTGCTGCACGAGTACCGCGACGGCGCCTCCGTGCACGAGTTCTGCATCAACCTGCGGCGGCTCTACGGCGACAGCCGCAAGTTCCTGCTGCTGGGTGAGCGGGCGGGCGCAGCGGGAGGCCGGCCGCGGCCTGCAGAGCAGGCTGGTGGCAGTGACCGTGGGAGCTCCGGGCCCCGGCTCTGCCCGCGGCTCGGGGGCTCCGTCTTGTCCACGAGTGAGGGGTCCCCCGCGGTGGGAGCCCGGCCCTCCTGTCCCTCCTGCGGGGCTGGGGGTCACTGCCGTGTCCCACAGGCCTGCGGCCCTTCATCCCCGAGAAGGACAGCCAGCACTTCGAGAACTTCCTGGAGACCATCGGCGTGAAGGACGGTCGCGGCATCATCACCGACAGCTTCGGGCGGTACCGGCGGGCCGTGAGCTCCGCCTCCACCTCCACCTCCAACGGCAACCGCGTGGCCGGCAGCTCCGACGACCAGTCCGCGCCCTCGGAGGGCGACGAGTGGGACCGCATGATCTCCGACATCAGCAACGACATCGAGGCGCTGGGCTGCAGCCTGGACCCCGACTCGGCCTAGCGCCCGGCCTGGAGCGAGCCTCTACTGTGAAGGGGACGGACGGGCAGGGGCGGCCGCGAGCCGGAGCCCGCGGGGTTTGCACACGGCGTTCCTGTGACACTCGGACCTTAAAGAAGCCGCTGCAATGTGAATCGTCACCTCGGCTGCAGCGTGTTTCTGAGCCCGTGGGGCCGTGTCTCCCTCCGTCTCCCCCGCCCCAGGGCTGGGCACAGGGTCCGGCCCCGCCGCCCGGGAGGACCTGACGGGGCTTCGCTTCTGGCCGTGGGCTGGGAGGGGTCCGGCGCCTGTGGAGGGGGTGCCAGGCCCTGGCCGCCGACGGGCACCGGCCCTGAGGGCGTGGCCTCGCTCAGGCCCCAAGGTCCCTGCCATTGTGGTCTCCACAAACCAAGTCCTGAGCCCCGAGTCCCAGCTGTCCTGCCTGAGTGTGGGAGGCGGTGGGGGGCCCCGGGGCGCCTCTCCACAAACCCCGATGGTGCGAGAGGGAACTCTGCATTCTGTGGGGTCAGGAGCCTCTCTGTCAGGGGTCCCCCACCCTCTTATCCTGGCACCGGCACCCCCTGTGCTGGGATGGGAGCCCACTCAGGGGACTCGGGACGGAGGCCGCCTTCCTGTGCCTCCTTCCCGAAGCCTCTGTGGGACCCCCCATGGGACCATCTCCCCTGAGGGACCATCTCCCCCGAGGGACCATCTCCCCCCGAGGGACCATCTCCCCCGAGGGACCATCTCCCCCGAGGGACCATCTCCCCCGAGGGACCATCTCCCCCGTGGGGACCATCTCCCCCGAGGGACCATCCCCCCCGTGGGAACTGCCCGAGGCTCGGTGTTCTTACGGAACCCCAGTCCATGGCCCACACCTTGCCCACAGCCAAGGCACCGCTGGGCACCCCAGAACACAGGAATGGAGGTCCCCCCGAGGGGAGGACGGGGCGGGAACCCGGGTGTGCGGCTCCGGAGTCCGGCCTCACCGCCTGGCTGAGGCCGCGGCACAGGAGGGAGGTGAGGGCGCCGTGTGCTGAGCAGCAGCATGGGGGCCGGGCCAGGGCGGGGCCGGCGGCTACATGGTCAGCTCCTGCAGGAAGCGGGGGTCAGGCTGGGGCCCAGCAGAGCCGCGGGGCGTCTGCAGGGCCGGTGCTCACCATGATGGCGTTGACGATGTCACTCTGGTTGTCCCTCAGCGCCCGCACGGCCTTGGCCCGGGACACGTTGGCCTGGGCCATCACCAGCTCGATGTCCCGCAGCTCCAGGCCCGCCTCGTCCACCTGGTGCGGGAGGTGCTGGGCTGGCACCAGTCCTCCGTGCAGAGCACCCCCACCTGCCCCTCCATCTCCTCCTCTTCCTCCTAACCCTCCTCCATGCAGAGCCCCCACCTGACCCTGGCCCTTCTCCTCCTCTTCCTCCTCCCCCTCCTCCATGCAGAGCCTGCCCCGTACCACTCCTCCATCTCCCTCTTCCTCCATCTCCTCCCCCTCCTCCATGCAGAGCCCCCACCTGACCCTGGCCCTTCTCCTCCTCCATCTCCTCCTCCCCTCCTCCATGCAGAGCCTGCCCCCGTACCACTCCTCTTCCTCCTCCATCTCCTCTTCCTCCATCTCCTCCTCACCCTCCTCACCCTCCTCCATTCAGAGCCCCCACCTGACCCTGGCCCTTCTCCTCCTCCATCTCCTCCTCCCCCTCCTCCTCCTCCATGCAGAGCCCCCCCCCCCCCCCCCCGCCCCGTACCACTCCTCTTCCTCCTCTATCTCTTATCTCCTCTTCCTCCTCCTCTATCTCCATCTCCTCCATCTCCCTCCTCCATGCAGAACGTCCCCCCTGCCCCCATACCACTCCTCCTCTTCCTCCTCACCCTCCTCCATGCAGAGCCCCCACCTGACCCTGGCCCTTCTCCTCCATCTCCTCCTCCCCCTCCTCCTCCTCCATGCAGAGCCTGCCCCCGAACCACTCCTCTTCCTCCTCCATCTGTCTCCTCTTCCTCCTCCTCCTCCTCTATCTCCTCTTCCTCCTCCTCCTCCTCTATCTCCATCTCCCTCCTCCATGCAGAACGCCCCCCCACCCTCATACCACTCCTCCTCCTCTTCCTCCTCCATCTCCTCTTCCTCCTCCTCCTCTATCTCCTCCTCCTCTTCCTCCTCCTCCTCCTCTATCTCCATCTCCTCCATCTCCCTCCTCCATGCAGAGCGCCCCCCTGCCCCCATACCACTCCTCTTCCTCCTCCATCTCCTCTTCCTCCTCCTCTATCTCCTCCTCCTCTATCTCCATATCCTCTTCCATCTCCTCCCTCCTCCAAGCAGAGCCCCCACCCCCGGCCACACCTACTCCTCCTCACCCTCCTCCATGTAGAGCCCCCCCCCCCCGCCCCGTCCCAGGGTGCACCTCCTCTTCCTCGCCCTCTGATTCCGACTCCGACTCCGGCTGCACCCGGGGCCCCGGCGTAGATTCCGGCACGAGGGTGGAGGGCTCCGCCGGCACCTTGAACTTCTCGGCGGCAGCTCTGTGCACTTGCTGGGACAGGTCCTCGATCTGCGGCAGGGCGGGGCGGCCGTCAGCACCTCGCCCCTCGTCCGGCCGCCCCCCCCCCCCCCCCCCCCCCCCGTCCTCTCCCGGCCGCGCTGGCCTTGGCCTCCCCGAAGACCACGTAGGTGTCCGAGGCCGGGCTCCTGAACACGTCGGGCTTGGCGATGACGAAGAGGATGTTCTTGGACTTGTGGATGGTGATGCGGGTGACGCCCTGCACCTGCCGCAGGCCCAGCTTGGACATGGCCTGGGGGCACGGCAGGCTCAGCCCGGCACTGCCCCCGTGTGTGGGGGGGGCACTGCGGGAGGGCGGGTCCCGGGAGAGCAGGCTGACAGGGCCCAGCTGTTTCCAGAAGGAATCCCCAGTGCCCACCCCGTGGGATCCACCCTCGGTGTGGGAGGTCGGGAGGCCCCAGGTCTGGGGGGGCTGACCGGCCCGGCCCCGCCCACCTTCCTCGCTTTCTTCTCGCTGCGGCTCTGCTTGGCCTTGGCTGCCGACTCCTCGGAGACCCGGGTTGCGGCCTGGGGGAGGGCGGGTCTGAGCACAAGATGGGGTGGAGCCCCCTGCCCCCCGCATGCAACCCCTCAGCTGGCACCTGGGCTGGGCCCTGCGGGGCCTGGGGTCCCGGCAGGTCTGGCTCCTCCGGCTCCCCCGACGACTCCCCGTGGCTGTCGGAGCGGCTGCCAGCAGCCGGGAGGGGCTCTGGGGACGGGAGAGGGTGAGGTGGGCCGGCCCCCCCGCCCCCTCCTCTTGCCCCTGGTGGACAACGCCCCCGCCCCCCGCTTACCTTCCTCCAGGCTGTCCTCGTCCAGCTGCTGGGTGGCTGGGGGCCCTGGAGGGCTGGCCGGGGCCCGCGGCCCGGAGCCCAGAGGCACTTGGCAGGGGGGTGGGGGCTGCGAGGCTGGGTCTTTGGCGTGGGGGCCCCGCATAGGGGTCACCTTGGGGCTGAGGAGGGCGGGGGGCGGCGGGAGGCCAGCCCGCTGCCTGGACTCGCGGGGGTGGCCCCTGGTTCCTGAGAAGGCGGCGGCCCACGGGGCTCCTGCCTGGGGCACCGGGAGGGCCTCCCCCTCCCCCTCGGCCTCCCGCGGACCCTGGCAGGGGCAGAGCACAGGGGGTGCTGCAGGGGGCACCCTGGGCACAGAGGGCTCAGGACTTGGGTGTCTGTCCTGGGGCTGGAGTGGCGAGGGGCTGGGGGTTCCGGGGACCGCCTGGGCCTGCTCCTCACCCCCAAGGCCTCGCATCCGCTCCCGCCAGGAGGGGGCTGGTGAGAACCTGGGGGCAGACTCCTCGGAGCAGCCCCTGCCCACCCTGGACACGGCCCTCGATGGAGACTCGGAAGCCACGGCCGACGGACGCCCAGGGACCGGGGTGCCCTCAAAGCCCCTGTCCCCCCGGTTCCCCGCCCCGGGGGCCTCCTCTGGGGGCCATCGGGGCTCAGCCCCCACCCCTGCAGGCAGGTGGGCCACCCTGTCGGTTGCCAATGGGCCTTCGGCTACTTCCTCTCCATCAGAGGCAGACTCGGGGGGGTCCGGGGTCTCCGAGGCATCAGAGGGGTCCGGGGTCTCCGAGGCAGACTCTGGGGGGCCCGGGGTCTCCGAGGCAGACTCTGGGGGGTCCGGGGTCTCCGAGGCATCCTCAGGGGGGTCCTGGGTCTTCGAGGCAGACTCTGGGGGGTCTGGGGTCTCCGAGGCAGACTCTGGGGGGGCCTGGGTTTTCGAGGCAGACTCTGGGGGGTCCGGGGTCTCCGAGGCAGACTCGGGGGGGTCCGGGGTCTCCGAGGCAGACTCTGGGGGGTCCGGGGTCTCCAAGGCAGACTCTTGGGGGTCCGTGGTCTCCGAGGCAGACTCTGGGGGGGCCTGGGTTTTCGAGGCAGGCTCAGGAGGGGCTGGGGTCTCTGAAACATCCTCAGGGGGATCCAGGGTGTCCAAGGCAGAATTGGGGGGTTCTAGGGTCTCTAAGGAAGACTTTGGGGGGTCCGGGATCTCCGAGGCATTCTCAGGGGGGTCCAGGATCTCCGAGGCATTCTCAGCGGGGTCCAGGGTCTCCGAGGCATTCTCAGGGGCGTCCGGGGTCTCCGAGGCATTCTCAGGGGGTTCCGGGGTCTCCGAGGAAGACTCTGGGGGGTCTGGCATCTCCGAGGCAGAATCGGGGGGGCCCGGGGTCTCCGAGGCAGAATCGGGGGGATCTGGGGACTCTGAGGCAGAATTGGAGGGTTCCAGGGTCTCTAAGGAAGACTCAGGGTGGTCTGAGGTCTCCGAGGCAGAATTGGGGGGCTCTAGGGTCTCCAAAGAAGACTTGGGGGTCTCCAAGGCAGAATCGGGGGGGTCCAGGGTCCCCGAGGCAGACTCTGGGCGGTCCAGTGTCTCTAAGGAAGACTTTGGAGGGTCCGGGGTCTCTGAGGTAGGCTCAGGTGGGCCCAAGGCTTCCGTGGGGAGGCGTGGGGGCCCCAGGATCGCTGTGGGGGTGTACAGGTGGTCTTGGGTGTTCGCGGCGGGCTCCAGGACCTCTGGGGCGGACGTGGGGGGGCCGGGGATCCTTGCAGTGCCAGAAGCCTCTGCGGTGGGTTCAGGTGTGTCTGGGGCCTCTGTGGTGGTTTCCAAGGCAGGCTCCGGGGGGCCTGTGTCTCCGAGTGAGGCCCAGGGTGCCCCCGCGCCTACAGCGAGCTCCCGCCCACCCTGGGGGGTCTGGCCCAGGTCCGGAGGCGCCGGGTCCTTCCCCGCAGCGGCCCCTGGGGCCGCGGGGGCCCCGGGCCCGGTCCCCTGGGCGCCGCCCGTGTCTGTGTCTGTGGGCAGGCTCCGCGGACCCGCTGCAGGCTCCCAGCCTGTGTCTGCCCTCGGGGCCCTGGGCTGGGGGCCCAGGATGGCGTGTGCCTGCTCCTGCGGGGACGCAGGTGTGGCCGTGGGCACAGGCTCTGCTCCCGGCCCCTCCTCCCGCGTGGTCTCTTCTGCGACCCCCGGGGCTTCCTGCGGGGACACGGGGCCTGGGGCGGGGCCAGCCCCGGAGACCGCCGTGCCCAGGTCTCCCTCGGAGGCCGCGGGGCTGTCCGGCAGGCCCGCGGGCTGCGCGTGGGGCTCCCCACTGTACAGCCTCTCGTCGTCCGCCCCGGGGAAGGAGGCGGAGTCGGGGTCCGAGGAGGCGGAGGAGTCGTCCGGGAAGGCGAAGGCCTCGTCCATGCCCTCGGTGACGGACAGGTCGGACAGCGACTGCAGGGAGGAGGCGAAGGTGCTGTCGTCCTGGTCCTCGCCGGCCCAGTCCCCGTCGGCGGCCTCGGGCTGCGGCTGCTGCTCCCTGGGGGACAGGGGCAGCACCTCCACCGCCTCCACCTGGAAGAGCAGGCTGCCCCGGAACGGCAGCAGGGCGGCGGGGACCAGCGCGTCCTGGCCCAGGAGGTCCAGGTCCAGGAAGTGGGCCTCCTGCTCCCAGGAGGAGCTGCTGTCCGTGGAGAGGCTGGACTCGGGGGCCTCGGGCCACGCCTGCTCCGGGGCCTCGGAACCGGGTGGGGAGACACCGCGGCCCGAGGGCACCCCCAGCCCCTCCTCGGGGGCCAGGCTCAGGGAGCAGGAGGGGGACGGGGAGGAGGGCCAGCTGTCCGTGTCCGCCGTGACGTAGGAGCCCGAGGGTGAGGTGGGCGGCGAGTCCCCCATGGGCTGGGCCCCGGCTGGGGCGTCCCTGGCTTCCCTGCAGGGCCTGGAGCTGGGGAGCAAGGCCGGGGCCTCGCTGGGGGTGGAAGGAGGCGTGAAGTAGGAATCGTGGTCTGGGGCGGGGAAAGGCACGGGAGGGTCACCCCGAGAACAGGGCGTGGGGGGGTGCAGGCGGGCAGGCCCCCCCTCCGGGTCCCTGAGCCGTGGGGGGGGCGCCTGGCATGTCTCCTCCCCCATCACCACCCGGGCCCCTAGGGTAGCTGGGAGAGGCCGCTCGGCAGGCTGGGCCTCGAGGGGCCTGGGGCCCCCCTCCATGGGGACCGCCCAGGCCGAGAGCGCCCGGCCAGGCCCCACATCCCCGCTGGCGCCCTCGGGCGGGGGCCGGGCGCCTGGCTTGCTGGGCAGGAAGGGGAGGTCCAGGGGGCTGGGCCCGGGGCTCAGGGCGCACTGCTCCGGCTGGTCCCCTCGAGGAGTGGTGGCCGCGGCCGTGCCACACGACCCATCTGTGGAGGGAGAAGGGCGTGAGGAGGGCTGGCCCGCGGGGAAAGGGGGAGGGTCACCCCGAGAACGGCGTGGGGGGGTGCAGGAGGGCAGGCCCTCTCTGGGCCCCTGAGCTGTGCCCCTGGAGGGGGCTGGGGAGAAGTTCCCAGGTCTGACCACAGCAGCCAGCTCAGGGGCTGTGTGGGCGCAGCGGTGGCACAGAGGGGCACCCCGCTTTCCTGCCAGGTGCTTGGCAGCGACGGCGCAGCTCCCTGCCTGTGACCCCTGCCCTGCTGGGCTGGGCCGTGGACCCTTCCGTGACCTCCAGGGTCAGAGGGCCCTGGGGGAGGGCCTGCACGGTCTGGGTCCCTGTGCCTCATTTTCTGTCTGCAGAAGGAAGTGCCCACCGACCTGAGGCAAAGCTCTGAGGGGGCACTGCCCAGGTGCCCACCCGCCTGTGAGTGCTGGGTGGCTGGGTCCTGAGAAGAGGCCCTTTGGGTCCTGAGGTGGGTGTGGTGCAGGTGCCTGAGCCTGGGCCTGCATGGCCCCTTCCCACCCAAACTGGCCCCAATTCAGGGCAGCAGCGGGTGGAGCTGGGCCAAGGCTGCAGTGAGGGGAAGCTAAAGGTCAGACGTCTGAGTGACTGGCTCAAGGTCACCAGCTCTAGCAGGGCCTGGGACACCAGCCCCGTCCCCTTTCCTGGACTCGCCCTGCACCCGGCTCGGCCGGCCCCATCCCCAGGCGTCCTCCCACAGCAAGGTGCCCTTGGCCGGGGCACATGGCTGACCTCCGGCGGGGCCACCCATCTAGTCTTCCTGGCGGGGTGGGGTAAGGGGGAGGGTGGCGCCCAGCACAGCGGCCCGGTCTCCCAGGACGAGGCCTCTGCAGTCTCCCCGCCTGTCCCCCCGCCCCCACGGCGGTGCCCTCTGTCTCCCCCTGCTTCTCCCTCTGGGACCAGTGCAGGCAAGTGGGGGGCAGTGTCCCCGAGACCCAGGATCCTGGGAGCCGCCGCCTCCGGTCCAGACCCACCGCCTGGCCCCGCGCCGCGCAGACAATGGGACGTGGGGTCGGGACCCTCGGTCAGCCCCTCCCCGCCTTTCCCCGGCCCGGGGTGTCGGGGTGCGGGCAGCCAGGCGGGGTTCCGGGGTGTCAGGGTGCTGGGCGGCCGCGGGGGGGGGGGTTGTCAGCATTCAGGGGGCACAAAGACAGGGGCGGGGCAGGGACGGGGGGCGGGGGACGCCCGCGGGGAGCGCGCGGCCTCACCTGTGCGGGCCCCCGGGCCGCCCGCCTCCGGCAGCAGCAGCTCGGCGCGGGCCGCCTCCCCGGGCATGGCCTGGCCGTGCGCCGTCCCTCCGTCTCCGTCCCTCCGCGCGTCCGCCCCGCGGAGCCTGGGCCGCCGCCCCTCGCCCGGGATGGGGGGGGGGTCAGTGGTGACGTCACGCTGCCCCGCCCGCCGGGGCCCGAATGAGCGTGCGCGCCGCCGGCACGGAGCGGGGCGCCCCCCCTCCCCCCCGCCCAGCGGCGTCTCCCCGCGGCGCGGCCCCCCCTTCTCCTCCCAGCCGCCCGGGGCTCCGCTGGCGGGAGGCGGCCAGGCAGCATCACCGCGCTGCGCCGGGAGGCGGGGTCCCAGAGCTCGGGGTGCGGGCGGAGGCAGCGGGAGACCCGGGGGCTGGCGCTTTGGGGGGCTGCGGCCCACCTGTCCCGGGCGAGGTGTGCCCGGCGGGCGCCTCCATCCCGCGGTGAGCGGCCCGCAGCTCCGCGGCCATTGGCTGGTCCAGGCCGGTCCCCATGGCAACCGCCTCCGGCGGAGCAGCCAGCCTCCGCCGTGCCCGCCGGCTCCGCCCCGTGGAAGCGGGAGGAGCAGCTCCCCCCGGTTCCCGGCAGCGCTGCCCGCCCCGCCCCGCCCGGTGGCCTGAGTGCCGTGCCAGGCTCCGGGAGACCGTCCTTGTCACCAAGGCCTGGGGGGCGGGAGCAGCTGTTCGGGCGGGTGGGGTGTCCTCCCTCCTGCCCCGGCTCCTCCCGAGCCCGCCGAGCATCCCGGTCCTCCAGCCGCTGGGAATCCTGCTCCCCTCCCCTCCCCTCGCCTCTCCTCTCTCTCCACTGCGAACAGCTGCCACCACCGGGCACCAGGAACCAAGCCCTATGGGCCGGGGCTTGTCTGGGGCTCTGCCCCCCTCCCCACCATGGTAAACCCCGGAATCTTCATGGAAGCCCCAGTGAGGGAGCTCCGGCTGAGAGGCCCCAGAGCAGCTCCGACAGGAGGGCCCAGCCGACCACCAGGCCCAGGCAGGCGCATTCCACGGGCAATCAGTCCTGCCAGCTCTGGGAGCACCTCCCAACCCCCCTGGGGACCCCAGCAGACGGGTGGCAGGATGCCAGCAGCTATGTCACGGAGCCACAGGGCCTGCGTGCGAAGCCGATGGGATGGCCGTCTGCTAGGACAAAACACATCTGATCGCCCAAGGCCCAGAATGCTGTAAAAACCATTGTACCAGGAAACCAGCTAGAGTAAGTGACGGCCAGCCTGGCCAGTGTGTCAGCGGCTGGGCGTGACCCGTGCCCAGATCCTGTGGGCTGAGCAGAGCTGTGGGGCCAGGTGTGCACAGCTCACACGTCCAGTGGGACCTCCCAGACCCGAGCTGGTGCACCCTTGGTGTGTCCCTGCACCTTGGGGTGCTCCCCACCCTGCCTGGGCTTGGAATCACCAGCTTCAGAAAGCCGTCTATCTCTGTGCCCGCCCGCCCTGTGGTCTATGCACCGGTGCCTGGGGCTCCCCCGTGACCCCAGCCCGCGAGCAGAGGATTTAACGAGGGTGGCAGCAGCTGGGATGGGTACGGGCACGAGGAGGCCCTTGGGCACATGCCCACTGTGCTTCCGCTGAGCTGGTGGAGGCCAGCACCCCGTACCCCCTGGTGAGGGAGCAGGGGGCTCCGTCTCCTCCGGCGCCAGGCGGCACCGGCATCATGTCCAGGGGAGATGCGGTCTCCTGCGCCAATGCCCCCATAGCGGCTCTCGTGACCCTGCCAGCTCAGGCCCCGCCTCACCATGGGTGCCAGGGCACCTCCAGGACGACCTCACACCCAGTGAGACCCCAAGCCAGGCACTGGCCCCAGAACCAGTGCCCAGGCCTCGGGAGGACACCCAGGAGGGAGGCCTGTGGGGCAGAGCAGCCAGGCAGCTGGCGACGGTGCCTGTGGGCAGCCAGCCCCTGCCCAGCCCCAATGGCTCTGCTGATGGGTGAGGAGGGCACGCACGGGCAGTGGCCTCTGGTGGGTGGCGAGAGCAGGGAGGATGGCGAGGGGTCACGGCAAAGCCCAGGAGGCCTCCTGGTGTTGAAAACCAAAGTGTAAGATTTATTTCCAGAGAGGAGAGGGAGGCCCTGCACGGCTGTCCTCACTGCCATGTCCGGGCCCGAGCCCAGCCCCGGCAGTCCATGCGGGCGGGCTACTTGGCCAGCTCCTCTGCCACGGACTTGCGCATCTTGTCCTTGAGGTAGGCGGCCTTCTGCCACTCGGACCTGAGCTCCAGCCACTCGTAGTAGGGGACCTGGGGGAGGGCACGTGTGGGCGGGGCTCCATCCCCTGGGCAGAAAGCGGTTCTGAACGTCCCGTTGTTTTACAAAGAAGCGGACAGCACCCGTGTGGCCCTCACAGGCCGTCTCTGGAAGGAGCAGGGGGACGAAGATCTCCCAGGCGGGAGCAGGCTCCGGGCTGCTCACCTGGTTTGAACGGGGCAACCCGCCCTCCTCCCAGAGGCCCTGGCCGTGGAGGCCCGCCGACATGCCCCTTCCCGGGGGCCCCGCCTCCCGAAGGCACTCACGTCCACCACGAGGAAGCCGGCAGCCAGCACGTGGCGCCGGGCGAGCGCGAAGCGGCCCAGCAGGTCCTTGGTGCGGCTGGCAAAGTTGGGGAACTCCCAGCGCAGGAAGGCCAGCCTGCGGGGGAGGCGCGGGCTGACCCTGTCCATCCTCGGAGGGCCGGGCTGGACACACCCACAAGAGCGGGGGGGGGGGGGGGGGGGGGAGGCGCTAGGCGCGTGGCCTACCTCTTGGCTCTGGGTGGGGGCGGCGGCAGCTGGTCCCCCGAGGGCGGGGCCAGATGAGGGGCCACGAAGTCCCTGAGGGGCAGGAACTGGCCTTCGGCGTCCAGCAGCACCTCCGCATCTGGGGGGGGGGGGGGGCGGCACACAGACGGATGGTTGGCTGTGTCCGGTGGAGGGAGGGGCAGGCCCTAGCTGGGGGACGGGGAGGGAGGCTCACCGAGAACCCAGCCGTACTGTGTGGCCACGGAGAAGCGGCCCCGCTCGGCCGCCCCCAGCAGCCCCTTCAGGGTCTCCTGCAGCTCCTTCTGCAGGGGCGTCACCTTCCTCTCAGGGCCGGGGGGCCCGGGGTCCAAGGCCGAGGCCGGCAGCAGGGGGCCCTTGTACTCGGGGTGCTCCAGCCGGGCTGTGGCATTGATGTGCAGCAGCTTCTGAAGGGTGCTCTGGCCCCTTGGGGACCGGTCACCTAGGGAAGAGGTACCGTGGGGGGGGTCACCTGCAGGCAGGCAGGCGGCAAAGTGCAAATGCTGGGGAGCCCTGGCCACCGTCTTCCTGCTCCTGGCCTGCCCTGGCCGCAGCGCAGCCCCGGGCAGCACACGGACGCTGCCCCGCCCTCACCTAGGAACTGGGCGTGCAGCTCGGGGCGCAGCACGGCTTGCAGCTCTGACGCCCGGGCCTGCTGCAGCACGCACAGGGCCCACAGCACGTCCACCTGCAGGGCCGGCTCCAGGTCGGCCAGCTGGCTCCCCAGCTTCTCGTGCACCTGGGGAACGGGGTGCAGGGAGGCTCTGCTCAGCACACGCACACGTCCTGGTGGGAAAGGTGCCAGGAGCCGTGCAGACCCCCGGGAACAACCTGGACGGGACGTTCAGCTGGGCTGTCCACAGAGCCTCCCTGGCAGGCCGGGCGGACAAACCACCTCCCCGGGACGTCCGAGGGGCCCAGACGGGAGGCAGCGGTCCCGAGAGGGGCTGAGGGCATGAGGGGACACAGCCGGCCGGCTGGGAGGTGTCCCTACAGGGACCCGGCTAGTGGGTTGGGGTCTCGGGGGCGTTGAGGCGGAGGCAGGAAGTGAGCTGTACAGAAAGCCTTTGGGCTGCAGGCGCTCGGCCTGTGATGGAGTGCGGGGTTTCGAGTGTTGCCCCAGACAACCCCGGGAGGTCGGGCTCCAGCTGGCTCGCTCCTGCCCCTGCTCCTGCCTGGCCTCCCTCCCTCCCACCTGCAGGGGGCGAGGCGTCTGGGCGGGGGCGCACCAGCTCGAAGAACGCGTCCTCTTGCTCCGGACGGAAGTTGAGGCGGGCGAAGGCCAGCAGCACGTTGCAGAGGTCTGACACGGCTCCGCTCCGGGCCCGGCTCAGGACGTGCTGGGTGTGGGGGCGGGGCGGGGCCGGGTGAGGGCCCACACCCCCTCCGGCAGCAGCCCCTCAGCGCCGCCCAGCAGTGCCGTGCCCAACGGGTGCCCACGCACCGCAGCACAGGCACCGCCCTCTCCCACCGCCTCCCGGTGGCAGCCGGGTGGTCTGGCCTCGCTGCCTGCCCGGTGCCGCTGCGGCCACCGGGACTGCGGCTTGGGGAGAACGGCGTCCGGCAATCAAGCAGGAACCAGGTTTGCACTGGCGTTTCCAGCCCCTGGACCTCCCTGACGACCCCAGGCCTCAGGGTGCACCGCTCACCTGGGCGAAGGCCTCGAACAGGGGCAGGCTGAGCCACTTGAGGAAGGCGAAGGACTTGGCGCAGCGGGCCACCTCGCCGGGCGTGAGGCTGGGCACGTGGGGCAGCAGGTCGGTGGCCAGGCGCTGGAACACCTGGGTCTGGTGGAAGCCGAGTTTGCCTTGGGGACAGAGCAGAGCCTCGGTTCACCTGGAGGTCCACCCGGCACCCCAGCCCGGCCTCTGGTCTAGGAGTTTGGTGTCTGCAGCCAAATTTATCCCCAAGGCCCAGCAGAGGGGACCAGGGCCCATGGGCCAGTGTTTCTATGGCAGCCTTCCGGGCCGGTGCCTGCCCCGGGGGGACGGGCACCGAATCTGACACGGCTGGGCAGGGGCCCCGCCCTGCGCACGCTCACCATAGGCGTAGGCCAGGTCCAGGAGGATGCCTTTGGTCAGGGGGAAGGGCTTCTGGACCAGGTGGTAGGAGATGGCCCGCAGCAAGGGCACAGACCGCCGGTTCTGAGCCGCCAGCGCCGCCAGCACCTTCTGCAGCTCGTCCGGGCCGAACTGCTCCACCAGGTCCAGGCACTGTCAACCACAGCCCAGGGTCAGCTCGGCGCCCACGGCCGGGGTCCCAGCAGCGCAGCCCCTGCGAGACAGCAACTGGGCCTGAGCTTACTACCCACTGACCCTGCAGGCCGGGGGCAGGGGGCCCAGGGCCACTGAGCGCGGCCCTTGTGATGGCAGCCACGTGGCCGGCCCGCTGTGGGGGACGGGCTGAGCCTTGGGGCGGGCCTGGGCCGTCGGGAGGGGGAAAGGAGCCGCAGGCCCCGCCCCCTGCCTCTCCCTTTGCCCAGCCCAGTACCTTGTCCTCCAGGTGGTTCATCAGCGGCTCGGAGAGGGACCCCGCCTTCGTCAGGAGGGCCACCAGCGTGCGGCCGTCCTCGATCTCCACCCAGCGCCGCTCCAGGTTCAGCAGCAGCTCGGCCAGCAGCTCCTGGGAGCCCCGCTCCTGCATGTGGGCGGCACTGGACTCGGCCAGGAAGGCCAGGTGCTTGAACTTGAGCCTGCGCAGGCGCCAGCGCACCTCCTGCTCCACCGACTGCAGCTCCTTGGAAGAGGCGGGGAGCGGCAGCGTGTAGAGGCTCCGCAGCAGCTTCACCAGCGTTCCGTGCCACACGGCCGTGATCTGTGGGACACGCAGGGTCAACACGAGAACGACAGCCTCAGAACAGGAGGCCCCGTTAACCCCTCGTACGCCATAAGCATCTGCAGAGGCAAGCAGCAAAACTTTTAAAAATATATATATATTTTATTGATTTTTTACAGAGAGGAAGGGAGAGAGACAGAGGGCTAGAAACGTCGATGAGAGAGAAACATTGACAAGCTGCCTCCTGCACACCACCTACCAGGGATGTGCCCGCAACCAACGTACATGCCCCTGACCGGAATCGAACCTGGGACCTTTCAGTCAGCAGACCGACGCTCTACCGCTGAGCCAAACCCGGTTTCGGCAAGCAGCGGAACTTTTTAAATTAAATTAAAAACATCCTGGCAGTTAACTGGTTAAGGTCACTTTAACTTTTTTTAAACCCTCTGCTGAGCATATTTTTCCCATTGATTTTCCGAGTGGAAAGGAGGGGAGAGGAGAGAGGAGGGAGGAGAGAAACACCGACGTGAGAGGCTTCGATCGGCTGCCTCCCACTGAGGGCCTGCACGAGGCCTGGGATGGAATTGGCAACCTCCTGGTGCAGGGCAGATGCCCACCAGCCGCGCCGCACCAGCCAGCCAATCACGGTGGTTTTATGAGCTACCTTCTCCCCATCTCCACCGCATCCTTTGAGGATCGGATTGGCTGAACAACGCTCTCCCCAAGTTTCAGGGCTCCCCCATCAATCGCCAACACCTTCTCAGTGCTGCCATCAGCCAGACCCCGGGGAGGGGGTGGCACATGACGAACAGAGAGCCAGAGGCAGGAGCAGCTGGCGTCCTGTGCCGGTTCCGTGAGGGCACCCTCCACCCAGCAGGCCGCCGTGCGGGTCACAGAGAGCGCGAGCACGTCCACAGACGGCTGCTGTGGTCTCGGGGCCCCTGCGTTCCCACCTGAGCAGCCCGGACCCACCTGGCTGTTGACCAGCTGGAGCAGCTGCTGGAAGCGGGCGTCCTGCACGAGCGAGGCCTTGTCCGCCGGCCTCTCGGCCAGCAGGCGGGACAGCCTGATGAGCGCCAGGGCCGCCTGGTTCTGCCGCAGGCTGTGGCCGCCCGCCAGCAGCCCCAGGAGCTCCTCCGGCCCCGTGGCCTTCTCGATGAGCTCGTCCACCTCCTGGCGCTCCGGGTAGGGGGTCGTCACCGGCTCCTTCTCCAGGTGCTGGGACAAGGACGCTGGGAAGTGGGAACTGGGTGAGGTAGCTGAGGACGTCAGAGTCTTACGGGCGACGCTGGCCAGGCTCAGGCGGCCAGCCGGAGGCCCCGCTGGGGCGAGATGGGCAGCTTCTCTCAGGAGGCAGGCACATCGCTTCACCAGGCGAGCGGCCATGATGGCCGGGCGGCAGGGAGGTGGCACTCCTAGCAAGTCATCCCAAGGCCCTGAAGGGAGAGAGGAGGGTTTGCTGCAGGCCCTTCCTGATGCACAAACAGGAGCACGTGACACATGGGTGGAGCCGCGGGCACACGCTCCATGCTCCAGCCCACACCTCCCGGCGGCTCCCAGGCACGGGCAGCACTTCCTGAAGGAGGTGACCCCCAATGCACAGGGTAACCAGACACCAGAACGGGGGCTGGGGCGCTGTCACTGACTGTGCTTCCTCACTAGGAGCCGTGGACAGTGCAGAGCAGCAGGCCCTCACCCGCATGGGGGGAGTCTGCCAGCAGGGCCCGGAAATTTGTTCTCAGATGTTAAATGTCTTCAGGATTAAGAACGAAGAGAGACCACGAGATAAGATGTTCTCAACCACTTTCTCCCATGTTTCTGGGCATGGAAGCCACATCCCACAGCGTCTGTGGGTAATTTTAATACTTAGAGACACAGATCAGCACTGGTTAAGCATTGACCTCTGAACCAGAAGCTGGTTGTTGGATTCCCTGTCAGGGCGCATGGGCAGGATCTCCAGGAGGGGGCATGCAGGAGGCAGCCCACTAGTGATTCTCATCACTGACGTCTCTCTCTCCCTCCTGCTTCCTCTCTGAAATCAATAATAATAATGTTAAACTCCTAACCAATCACAACAAGCACTTCCCAGGCTTAGAATCCTCTCAGCTTTACCTCCCCTTCGCCCAGCAACACACCCTCAGGCTGAGCAGGCCCGTGCCCTCCTTGCCCTGGGTTCCTGGCCTCGCCTTCCAGCACAGAGACCAGGAAATTGTCCTTGTCTTCCCAACTCAGACCAACCCAAGACCGAAGTTTCCTCCTCCGAGAAGTTGTTACATGTCCCAACTATGTTGCTTTGAGGATCTGTCAGTCTTGTTTACGGGGTCGTTAAGTGACCCGGCAAGGCAGGCGGGAGAGGGTAAAACGTTAGCCGGGCCTCGGGCCAAAGCACAGAGCGTGCATGTTTGATCTCTGAGCTCCGGATGGCCATTATGTTTTGCTGTTACACGGTGTGTGTGTGTGTGTGTGTGTGTGTGGTGGGGGGTGGGGGGGGGTGGGTTCCTGCAGCTGCAGAAAAAGCTCAGTCTGGTTGAGCTTTGACCTATGAACCCGGAGGTTAGGGTTTGATTCTCGGCCAGGCCTAAGGTTGTGGGCTCCATCCCCAGTGGGGGGCATGCAGGAGGCAGCCGGTCCATTGTTCTCTCTCATCATGGACGATTCTAACTGTGAAATCAATATCCCTCTCTGAAATCAATAAAAACATTAAAAAACCCACCAAAAACCTCAGCCTGACTTACAGAGGCCCAGCGAGGGGGGATCCCGGCCCAAGGTCGACGGCCCCTGCGCGGAGACGGTAGCAAGACGACCCCACGAGCCGGGAAGGAAGCTGAGGTCCGGACGCCCAGCTGGGCCTGAGCCAGCACCGGCCCGGAGGGGGCCCCCCGCCCCGGCCAGGGCGGGCTCGCGGGCCGCCACGCGGGACCGGTTGCGAACCGGAACCAGCCTGGGCTGCCCCCTCCTCCTGAGGCCCTGCCCTCCAGCCCCGCGCCCCGTCCGGGCTCCCCTCCCGCCACGCCTCCGGCCCCGTCCCCTCCGCCCGGAGACCTACGCCGGGGCAACGGCCGACTCCGCCGCTGACCTCCCTGCGTCCCGCACGGAGCGCCGCCGGAAGCGAGGCTCGCCGGACGTCTCCCGACCGGAAGTCACGGTGGGGTTCATTTCCGGTCTGGCGCCATCTTTGTTGAGGTCTCCGGCCCGGAAGTTACTGCGGGGGACCATTTCCGGTTGGGTGCCATCTTTGTTGAGGGCACACGACCGGAAGTCACTGCCATTTGCCATCTTTGTTGCGGGCGACCGACTCGGCGCCGTGAGGCGGAGCGCCAGGCGGGGCGGCGGTGGAGGAGCCTGGGCGGGGCGGAGAGGAGGGCCGGAATGGGAGGCTGGGAGGCTGGTGCGCCCGCGGCGTCCCGGGGCTCCGCGAGGTGTGCGGGCGGCCCCCGCCGGCCTCGGGTCCCCGCAGCGCGGCGTGGACTTGGGGGCGGGCCGCGGACCCACGTGCGGACCCGCCGCTCGGGTGCCGCCCCGCGGAGGCCGTCCGGCCGAAATGTGGGCACAGCTTGCCTGCGTCTTGCATTTAAAAAGCGAAAAGAAAGTACCCTGGGGTTTTATGTGCCATATTCGACTTTAAAAGATTGAGGTTTAATTAGAAAAGAATGTGCGGGGTGGGCCTGCTGGTGCATGGACTGCTGGTCTCCCCTGAGATCCCGCGTTCTTATCACAGATCTACCCCATCCCGCACCAGCTGTCTTTCAAAATGCGCCGGGTCAACGTAAAAAAACATGGAAACCTGTAAAGAATTGAGGTCTCCAGCCCGGAAGTTACTGTGTGTATTTGAGCCAAACTGTGGACATATGCGGGGAAGCAGAACCTCAGGAATTGAGGTGATGCTCCGGAGAATGGCGGGTTACACCTGTATTTATACATTGCCACCAAAGGAGGGTCGCAGGTGCGTTGCATGAAATTCATTGGTGACGGATTAAGGAGGTGGGAGAAAGCAGACACCAGAGATGGGGAAGCCCCTGGGACTGGATAAAAAGTAAAATGATGGACACGCACTCAGGTGGGTGCAGGGACAATTAACATAACAATGAAGGGATTTGTGGTATCTGTCTGGAGCCCAGGCACATCAGGTTGTGCCCCAAGGGGTCCGGAAAGGGAAGCTACAAGTTACCCAGACGTGTGAAGGGTGTGTTATCCCAGATGCAAAAAGACAGACAGGCTCAGCTAAGGTAAGGGTGACCTTG